GCAGCTGAGGCCCAGCCTGCCTCGGGGGAGCGGCAGTAAGGAGGGGCTCCCTCAGCCCCCGTCTCACCGTCTAACTGTCTCACTGTCTCACTGTTTCACCGTCTCACCGTCTCACCGTCTCACCGGAAACGGGTCTGACGCTCTGAGGTCTGGCTGCAGCCCTTTGGTACTAACCCGTCACATCGGCGCATCTGAAGTCACTGTCATTCGAAGGCGGAATTCACTTTTGTTTCAGAGCTTCAGTTTCTATGCCGCAATTAGGACTTTTTACTTGTTTTTTTTTTTTTACTTTTTTTGATTTTTTATTTGAAGTTACAGTGTCTTCGAATACTAAGTTAAAAGCAAAAATGGAAAAGAATAAGGCTTAAAGAAGATTTAAATAAACTGGATTTATAAAAAATAAGGCCAGATACAGAACAAATAAAACACTAAAACAAAGAATTCAAACAAAATATTTAAAGGGCTTACTAATTTTTATTTAATCCTCACCTGAGGATATGTTTTCATTGATTTTAGAGAGAAAAATGAGGGAGGGAGAGGTGGGGGGGGGTGCGGGGGGCGGGGGAGAGAAGCAACATTGATGGGTTGCCTTCTGTATGTGTCCCGCCCACCCACAGCCCAGGCCTGTGCCCTGACGGGGACTCTAACCTCATCCTTTTCCTGTACAAGACGACCCGCCAACCAGCTGAGCCACCGGCCCAGGAAAGACATAGCCACCTGGTATTGATTCTACAGATGGTTGGTCAATTATTTCCCCCAAAGTATTACTTCCCCTTTTAAAAAACCTCCCATTACCACATGTTATGTGAAAATATTGTGTCTCGCCACCATTACTATGTAGTTTGTGAAAAACAGGGCACAGCAATTCTGCACGAATCCCATGTAGACTGACTGTGTGCTGCGCCGTTTATTAATGGAAAACATCCCGTGCGTTTGCACGTCTGCTGTTGGTGACGTTTCACCAGATCAGATGTCCAGCGAGGCTGACCGCGGTCCTTCCCTCCTGCCCTATGAGTGCCCGCAGCACTCTGGATTATAGACATTATTTACAAGATCTAAAGGCAGGGCCTTTGAATTTATATTTCCGAATTTATATCTTATGGAACAATTCTGGGCATAAAGTGGAAGATAAAATATATTTATTAAGTGACTCAACAGGCCCTAGCTGGTTTGGTTCTGTGGATAGAGTGTCGGCCTGCGCACTGAAAGGTCCCGGGTTCAAGTCCAGTCAAGGGCATGTACCTCGGTTGCAGGCTCTGGTCAGGGCTCCTGTGGGAGGCAACCAATCAATGTGTCTCTCTCACATTAATGTCTCTCTCTCTCTCTCTCTGTCTCTCCCCCTCTCACGCTCTCTAAAAATCAATGGAAAAATATCCTCATGTGAGGATTAACAACAACAATAACCAACAAAGAAGAAAAAAATGAATAAACAGTTGATTTAGTTTTTAAGAAGAGGATTGGTGGTTATCTGATTAGAAGTCAATGTTAAATAATGTATGGGATTATTATGAATTGAATAAATTACTAATTGAATAATTTCATTCTCATTGGAATGTAAATGTTTTTCTATATAGTCACATCTTTTTCTCTGGAGCGTCCTGTCCCAACCTCACTGACTGATTTTGTTAAAGAAAATGCAATTTGGTAAAACAGAATTTTCTCAGATGCTTCAATTTTTAGCACCAGCTCCTACCAAGAAAATTTTAGATCCAAAAGAAGATACCACATTCCTTAAAATTCCCGAGTCAGCTTTGGGCTGGCAGTGATGTGGTGGACTCTCTTTTCTGCTTTGTTCACCTTTTTGGATCTTTTAAACAAGATCCTTAGATTTTAGGGGCAAACATGCTAAAATCACAAAGTACCATGTTAACTGATTTTGGAAAATTTCTTCCCCCTACTGGGGATGGAGCCCACCACCAAGGTACACGCCCTTGACCAGTATCGAATCCGGGACCCTTCTGTCTGCAGGCTGATGCTCTATCCACTGAGCAACACCGGCCAGGGCTCTTTTATCACTGTATTAGCTCTCCATCTTGTTAAATTTTCTCTTTACTTTTTATTATTTTTAGAAATAGAGCCTTGCTATCTATTTTCTTTTTTTTATTAAATCTTTATTGTTCAGATTACATTTGTTCCTCTTTTTTCCCCCCCATAACTCCCCTCCTCCCAGTTCCCGCCCCCCCGCTCCGCCCTCACTCCCCACCCACTGTCCTCATCCATAGGTGCACGATTTTTGTCCAGTCTCTTCCCGAATCTCCCACTCCCCTTTCCCCCCCAAGAATAGTCAGTCCATTCCCTTTCTATGTCCCTGATTCATTATAATCACCAGTTCATTCTGTACATCAGATTATTTATTCACTTGATTCTTAGATTCACTTGTTGATAGATGCATGTTTGTTGTTCACAATTTGTATCTTTACCTTTTTCTTCTTCCTCTTCTTAAAGGATACTGTTCAGCATTTCGTATAATACTGGTTTAGTGGTGATGAACTCCTTTAGCTTTTCCTTATCTGTGAAGCTCTTTATCTGACCTTCAATTCTGAATGATAGCTTTGCTGGATAAAGTAATCTTGGTTGTAGGTTCTTGGTATTCAGCACTTTGAATATTTCTTGCCACTCCCTTCTGGCCTGCAAAGTTTCTGTTGAGAAATCAGCTGACAGTCATATGGGTATTCCCTTGTAGGTAATTGAGTCTCTTTCTCTTGCTGCTTTTAAGATTCTCTCTTTGTCTTTTGCTCTTGGCACTTTAATTATGATGTGTCTTGGTGTGGTCCTCTTTGGATTCCTTTTGTTTGGGGTTCTCTGCGCTTCTTGGACCTGTAAGTCCGTTTCTTTCACCAGGTGGGGGAAGTTTTCTGCCATTATTTCTTCAAATAGGTTTTCAATATCTTGCTGTCTCTCATCTTCTGGCACCCCTATTATTCTGATGTTTTGTACGCTTGAAGCTGTCCCAGAGGCTCCTTACACTATCTTCGTATTTTCGGATTCTTTTTTCCTTTTGCTTTTCCGGTTGGGTGTTTTTTTGCTTCTTCGTAATTTCAAATCTTTGACTTGATTCCTTGGGAATCCTCTGGGTCTGCTAT